AAATTAGGTAATTAGTATCCACGGATTATTACCAAAAACTAATCAAAACCTAGCATTAGTTCAGAGCATGTATGTACAAAGTTTCATCAAAATCCAATGAGTGGTTGTTTAGATATCAGTGGAACAATCATGGAACAGCTAAAAATCAGCTAATTATCATGCAAATTATGTAATTAATATGCACGGATTTTCACCAAAAACTAATCAAATCTGCGCATATGTTCAGAGCATCTATGTACCAAGTTTCATCAAAATCCAATGAGTGTTTCTTTAGATATCAGTGGAACAGTCATAGAACAGCTAAAAATTAGCTAATTATCATGCAAATTAGGTAATTAACGAGCATGGATTTTTACCAAAACCTAATCAAATCTGCGCATTGGCCCAGAGCATCTATGCACCAAGATTCATCAAAAACCGATGTATGGTTCTTGAGATAGCAGTGGAACAGTCGGACACACATACACACATACACATACACACACACGCACACGCACACACACGCACACACAGACACACTAACTGCAAAGACTCCCATTATGTGCTTCGCACATGGGAGTCATAAACCAGCGAATAATTAATGCATTTACAGTATATGTAAATATATTTTATTTTTACTTGGAATTTATTTTTGCTGAAGCAGTGCATCAGTGAAAATAAAATCCAGCAAAAATACCTTTTTTCCTATATTTTATATTCAACTTATCAAAAATCAGTGAAATTAAGTTCTATACAAAGCACCATACAAAAAAGTCTTTACAGTAAAAAATAATTCCAGCTGGAATAAAGTATTTTACAGTACCATGATGTCATAAATATTATTACATATGTACTGCAGTTTATTTTGACTCGTCCTTGAAATCAAAATCGGTATTTCCACACCCCATATGCAAATGAGGTCTGAGAGCAAACAAAGTACCGGTAGTCCCTTTAGGAGTACCGTTTTTCAAAACATAGCAAAAATAAACAATATTTAGAAGTATGATATTTTTCCCTTGGGGTACATGAATATACTTGCCGAGGGGAATGGAATTGGAACAACAGTAATGGATGTTGATCACCTGGAAACTGAGTTTTATAAGTCTTGAAGGGCTCTCGGAAGATCCACCACAGTAAAATCAGCGATTACTATGGAGCCGCAATCATCAACTACGAGATCATGAGGCGAGAGGAGGTTTCTGCTGGTGACGTTGCGGCGTTACTCGGTTCAAAATAAAGAAAATGAGCTATGTTTTAACTGGTAACCAGGACTCATTCAATCCACGGTCAGCAAGCAACATCACAAACGAAGTTGTAGCGTGCAGCTCAGCGACGAACGCTGTCGACAAAAGCCATCCCGTCAGTGGAGTACTGCAGTTGCACGGCATGTTTACCAATTCTGTGGTGAAACTTTTAACTTTAACATACATGTAGACTGTGTATCATAGTCGTCCAGTCCAAATTCTGGTTCTGTCGTGGTCCCAACTAAACGTCCATGAGTTATATATTCGGACAGTGACTCAGATTAGACGTCTGATTATTTTATTTTCACACTGACAGTGAAATGCGTTCTACACTGACATGCGTTGCTAGGGCGTAACACTATCCTGGAACATATTAATAGGCAATAGGGTTCACCGACCTAAATGCCACCCGGTTTGTTGCACGTTCTTTCTTTAATATGAAATAATCAAATATGGAACATATGTAATAATAACAGTGATGTGGTGTATCCTGCGGCTGTATTTTTACTCGCGAAGCGAGTGAAAGTACAGCAGAATACACTGCATCTCGAGTGAAAATAACTTCCATACGCAACAAAAGCCTTAGGAAGGATGTGGGGTTCTGTCATAGTATTTATTTTCACCAATATTTAATTAAATTCACAGTTTTGACATTTGATATCACCAGGTTTTTTAATTCCACCATGTGTAAAAAAAAATGTGATCAATTGGTGTTGGTTGTTAATTTATATGTACACAAGAACTGAGTGGCCGCCCAATGTTGTCAATATTTCTACGATCCAGTGTATTTCTATCATGTCCATATATACACATACAATGTACAGGTAATGGGACTATCAGGAGACAGTGATGAGAGCATGGAAGATGACGAGGATATGGATGATGATGATGTAGATGCGTATGATGACGATTATTATGAAATGGACGATGAAGATGCTGCAGGTGATACATCGATAAATTGTCATCAAGAAAGGTACAAGGCTCTTGTTACTTTATATAAAATAATGTATACTGTTAATGTTGATATTATGTACTGTTGATTACTTTATGTTTTAATGACTGTGGGAGCCATTATATATTTTGAGTCTTGTTAATTTTATGATTTTTGCAAACAAGCAAAAATGACGTAGTGACATACTTCATAGCACACAAATATTTTGTGTTGACCAAAAGACCCCAATCTCATTACACCTGAAATTTAAATGTTCTCTGTGATGCAACAATTTTGTAATAGAGCTGAAATTCCTACTTGAGATGTTTTCATTCTTTTTTTAGTAGACATGAAATATACATGTAGTCGCACTGAAATGATGCGACATGCAAAATCACAAAATATATATAATGCTTTTATAGTAAGATAAACACCAAATTGTAATTATACAGAATATTGTAAAAGGAGGTAATATGGATATTATTTTGGTGATTTATTTCTTCAGTAAAAATAGCATAATTATTGAATAATTAACACCTTGTGTTAATGTCACATGACTAGTGATTCCAGCATGCATTGCATCATGGAAAGAAACAACCAGGTGACACATTTGCCATGATTGCTGTATAAAATACATAATGGCAGACATTTTAGAAATATTAGCCACAACTGAAAGAAATAACAATATTTTGTTCCTGATGTGACAGAATATTTAATAATTGTCAATTCAGGATGACAAATACTGAGATGTTCCTTAAAGATTGTGTCCAATTTTTCCTTTGTCATCTCCAACCTTGAATGTATTTAAAACAAATCTGAAGACAATCTGTCATCGATGCCAATTTTTAACAGATACACTTTTTTCGCAGCAATTTATAAAAACTTTCATTACTGCTTCTCCACATTTGTCTTCTTCAAAAAGTATATTACACTAGACATAATTACTCTGGTAAACAGCTTTACATTCCATTTTGTGTACTTTATGAGATCTCCCAAAGTGCAGTTCTAGCAGCAATAATTTCACAAATGTACAACAAGTCCTCTACTGGATGATCACATTAAATCCAAAATAAACACACAGCACTAACTGCCAATCATGTTCTTGATACTTAATTGTCCACAATTTCTTGGATATCTGCAAGATCTTACCAAATCAGGAAGAATTTAGTTGGCGGAACGTTAACAGCGGACATGTTTATTTACATATCACTTGAAGATAATACAGTGACGTCAAAGCAGTAAACATCAATTCTTGGAGGGAGATGCCAAGAATTGTCTCATCCAATGTGACAATTACAATCCAATTGGAGATTAAAACATGAGGCAGAGTATGACAAAAATATATTGTTAGATGGTCGATCAATGTATTTGTATATTTTATAATAACATTTGGTTTCATCTCTCCTAATGTATGGTGCAGTCAGAATGACATTGGTGCCACAGCTGATGATTTTTTTACTGGTGATGGAAGCCCAGTAGCTATACACAGAATATTGGCAGGTAAAGCCGATTTACATACTTTTGAACAATGAATTGTATCACTCAGAGGAGTTTCGTTTCTGGCCGCTAAAACAAGCAATTTAATGTCTTTGCATGTCATATCGGCATACATTCACAGTTTTTTGTTGACCATTAGAAATATGAATCAGAAAAAAATTAGTCTTTGCAGTTACCCTGTCTGTATGTATGTCACTTTTTTTGTTCCACCATTATCTCAAGAACCACTAATCAAATTTTGGTGAAACTTAGATGCTCTGGGATAATGCGCAGATTTGATTAGGTTTTGGGAAAAATCCATGCTCGTTAATTACCTAATTTGCATTATAATTAGCTAATTTTTAGCTGTTCTATGACTGTTCCACTGATATCTAAAGAAACACTCATTGGATTTTGATGAAACTTGGTACATAGATGCTCTGAACATATGCGCAGATTTGATTAGTTTTTGGTGAAAATCCGTGCATATTAATTACCTAATTTGCATGATAATTAGCTGATTTTTAGCTGTTATTCCACTGATATCTGAAGAACCACTCATTGGATTTTGATGAAACTTGGCACATGGATGTCTAAACTAGTGCGCAGATTTGATTAGTTTTGGGTAAAAATCTATGAATATTAATTACCTAATTTGAATGATAATTAACTGATTTCAAGCTGTTCCATGACTATTCCACTGATTTTTGAAGAACCACTCATTGGATTACAATAAAACTTGGCACATGGATGCTCTGAACTAATGCACAGATTTGATTAGTTTTGGGTAAAAATCTGTTAATATTATTAATTACCTAATTTACATAATGATTAATCAATTTTCGGCTTTTCCACTGATATCTCAAGTACTAATCATAACATTTCAATAAAACTTGGTACATAGATGTCTTCTGACACTGCACAGACCTGGTAGTTTTTAGGGTAATATCAGTACATATTAATTACCTAATTTGAATAATTAATTAATTTTTAGCTTTTGATATTTCGAGTAGTAATGATCACGTTTCATGAAACTTGGGACATAGTTACTTGAGAAC